GTTTTCGAGAGAAAAGTTCTGCGAAAGATTTATGCGCAAAAAAAACTGAGCACGCCGTAGTGTCGGTCCGACCGAGGGTTATTTTTTTGAAGCGCGGCCGAAGGCCGCCAACGCAGAAAGGAATTCTAATAACTAATGTTTTATATATTTCCTGTCATTGCGGTTATATTTGTTTTCTTTATTTCTTTTGGCTCTTCTGTAAAATATGAACGTAAGGTAGTACAGATTATTAGTTAGAATGCAACCCTTTTGTTAATTTAAATATTGAATACAAGTTATTTTTGCACTATTTAATAAAAATAAATGGATAGAAACGATTTAGTGAAGTGTTAGTGGATATAAATTCATAATAAATGGGAAAAAACATGCATTTTAACTGGTTGAATTTTTGAACTTTAAATGTATGTATCTCAAAAACCACAAATCGGCGGCAACTATATATATATATTTTTTTTTCTTAATCTAGAGGAACTCCTCTATCCGTACATAGCCATGCTATTCAAAAATGTACTCTTTTTTTTTGTTATATGTAGAGAATTACAAATTATCTCCTTCTTATGTTAACAATAGTTCAGCCAATAAAATTCAATCAAAATATTTAGCAGCATTGGATTATATTCCATAAATAAGTTTTGTAATGTAGTAAAAAAGAGCTTTAAATATATATTAATCTATCAACTACACGCCGTGTGGTTAACTTTTTGAGGTTTTTGAATAGGTAGAAATAGTTTAAATTCCGGTGGAAGCTCTTCTTCGGAATAAAGTCGATCAGAGAAATACACCCGTCTTATTCTGCAGTTAGCATGTATTTGCACCCGTAAAGTTTCCACATAATTTGTTCCATACGCTCTCCTGGTAAAGTCAGACAAGTTAAACTGTATTTGGTTCCAACCTTCATCCAGACGCATTGGCATGGTACAAATAAAAGGTTTGACGCGGGTTGTAGACTGATAATTACTTGCTCGAAATCTACGACGTACATTTTTATCATCAAGAACCTAACAATGAAATGAATATATAATTAAAGCATTTTTAATTAATTAACTCACTTACTTGGACTTCAAAGGTAAAGTATTTCTTCAAATTTTTAATTATCATAACCAAATATGGAAGTTTAATGCCTAAAGTTTTTTTCGGATCAGCTGGACACGTTACAAATGTGGTGCTTACGTTTGTGCCGACGATTTCTAAGACTAAGCTTTGAATATCATTGTCAGTAATACGTTTAATATGACCATTTCGAACTTTTTTGTCCCATATCTGTAGAGGTTTACTTCCGATGCTATACAAAATCGAAAGAAATCCTGACTGAAAAGTATTTTTAAACATTTATTAAATTTTTTTCAGCAAATTTTACAAAAATTTAAACCTTTTATTAACCAAACACAAAAAAAGAAAAAACAGTCAGAATATTGCTAGAAATCTCCATAAAATTGATTCTTTAGGGGGCATCTCGACAGGATAAAATTTATGTCATACTAACTTTCAAATCTATTGCTATTGCCATTGCCAAGTGTGTACATGGGTATTTTTTATCTTAAGCTTAGTATCCATCTCTCGAGAAATGTAAAAACTTCATATAAAAAAAAGCTTAAGAAACGGTCAAGAAACTTTCCTGCGATAAATTTACTTGTGCTAGTATGCAGCTCTAAAGTAATCTAGTACTATATTTTAATACTTTTTTTCAATAAAATGCGAATATGGCAAACCTGGTTTTGCGAAGGAACATCTAATCAACAATTGTTTCTTGAACGAAATTCAAAGTAATTGTTAAATTCATCATAAATTAGTTAAATTCATTATTATAAATTAAATTTCATTTTAAAATCTTGTATAAAACTTCCCAATCATCAACAACATTCCTTAAATGAATGAATCCAATGAAAATATTTATGTTACTTCGCACATACATACATACATAATACGCACAATGTTTATTTTCTTTGTTTATTCTCTCTTGCTCTTCTAATGTGGATCATTCACAATGCGTAACCAGCTGTCAAAATGTCTTTAGATATAATGTATTTTTTGTCTAGAGCAATTAATTGAGAGCTGGCTACCAACCTTTAACATAGTCATTTACGAAAAGGTGTAGGGTAGGTGGGTTCGAGCTGATGTAGCGCATGCTTTGAGCCATTGTAGAAATATACAAGTTACAAAAGAATTATATGGCTGTCAACAGCTGAGATCACCTGATCTAAATAGTTGATTTTTCGGCACAGAGATTCAAACAAAAGGACTTAAAAATAATAAAGAGGTTGCAATATATGGGCGTTACCCATATTTTTTGGTACTAGGTTTCCACGGAGGCCTATTTTCACCCATATAATATGTACATTGATACAATGAATAAAATTTTAATCATAACTATTTAAATTTAATCTTTATGAATTTTAATAATCGAACATTAGTTCAGTAAACACTTTTCCATATATTTATATTTAATAAAACAGATAAGATAATAAATTGCTGAAGTGACAGTCCTTTGCTTTCAATATATGGCATACTAATTTCATACTATCCTTTTCCTTCTGCTTTGGCGGCAATACCAAATAGTATGCCATATTTTGAAAGCAAAGGACTGTCACTTTAGCAATTTAACAGCTCAGTTTTCATTTCTATGAACGTTTCGAAATAGGAATACATCCCACTTATACATATACCGACGGCAGTTTCATTTTGGTAAAGGTTGGTATCCAACTCTCAATTAATTGCTCAAGAAAAAAACTACATTATTTCTTTAAGTAACTCTGACAGCTATTTACGCATTGTGAAGGATCTACAACAGAAGGACAAGAGGGAATAAACAAAGTAAATAAAGATTGTGCGTATTATGTATGTATGTATGTGTGAAGTAACATAAATATTTTCATTGGATTCATTCATTTAAGGAATGTTGTTGATGATTGGTAAGTTTTATACAACATTTCAAAATGAAATATAATCCATAATAATGAATTTAACTAATTTATGATGAATTTAACAATTACTTTGAATTTCGTTCAAGAAACAATTGTTGATTCGAAGTTCCTTCGCAAAACCAGGTTTGCCATATTCGCATTTTATTGAAAAAAAGTATTAAAAAATAGTACTAGATTACTTTAGAGCTGCATACTAGCACAAGTGAATTTATCGCAGGAAAGTTTCTTGACCGTTTCTTAAGCTTTATTTTATATGAACTTTTTACATTTCTTGAGAGCTCGATACTAAACTTAATATTAAATTTATTCAAGCAAGTATTAAGACGGTTCTGTTAAGTTTTAAATGACATTTTCAACATAATTTAATACAATTACCGGGGACTGGTAGTTGGCACCACATAACTGAAAATTCATTAGTTTTTTATTTAGATCAATAGCAAGACCTTTGTACATCATTGTAATACAATTAAAAAATTTTATAGACCCTTCATTATTTTTTAATTAATTAAACAAAATAATTATAGGAGGTTAGCACCCCACCCCACTAATTTTTATTTGTAGACCGAAATAATATTAAGCAATGGAAAGCAAATCGTTTGAAGATAATAAATACCTTGGTTTCATTCTTTTATACGTAATTATTCATTAGATTTTAATTAATTTAAAAAAAGGTTTATGGTGAATGAGTTATTGAGGTTTATCAGGCTGGTTTTCGCTTTCGAGTTTTGATTAAAGATAATTAAAATTAATAACTATATAATAAGTGATTTGTTAACGGTCGAAATTTGGATTGACCATATTAACAAAGTTTGGCGACTTTATCACCAATTTTTCGACTAAATTTTCTTTTAGGCTACATCAACAATGGCCACCTCATGCTAAAGTAGCTGTAGAGGATGTCGTAGCAGTTATTAAAAAGCATATCGACCATTTTACAGAGAGAAGTAATTTTCCAATTTCTTCGCATATAATATGGAAAACCATGAGCAAGGAGTTGAAAATAAATGGACACCATATAATGTATATGTGAATCTCATTAACAATAGGAGAAGGGTACTAGCTATTGCCTGTGATGAATTGGGAATTCGTTTTCGTGAAGAGGTGAAAAATGTTTAACTTCACAAATCAATGTTCGAAGACTCAGTGACTGATCGCTTTAATGAGTCGTTTGAACTCCGTGAGTAAAGTGCGGATTTAGACGAATTCAAAGTGCTTGTCACTGCAGCTGAATGGATGAGCATACAAGGAGATGAAAAAGCTTATAATGATGGACGTACTTATACTACTCTCCGTTCAGGTGTCAGATATCGGTAAAAATATTACTCTTTAAACTATTAATGGCTTTTTCAAAATTCAATTATTTGTATGACAATATTAATGCCGAATAATGTTTTGATATTTTCATTTTCCAATCTAATGCAAATTTAAACTCACTTATGATCTATTAAATTATAAATGAAAAATTTTTTATTCCAATTTTTTCATTATTTTCAAAGGAAAATAAGATTCTTAAAAGTAAAATCATTACGAGAATGAGAAATAGGGCAACATTTAAATTGAACTTTGAGTGGAAACTCATCATTGGGGATTTTTCCTTAATATTAAAATCAATGTGTATAATATGAAATTTGCAAAAGCGAGTCCAATGCGTTACGTGCCAACAAAATTTAATTAAGATTCAGGAGACGATGCCAATTCTTGCCTTTTTCAATAATTAATAAGGCGATAATGAACATTTTCCCTTTTAATTAGCTACTATCAGAATAATAATAAAGAAATCTCCATCATTCATTGAAACAATTACATAATTGTGGAAAATAATTTGTATCGCATTATTAAATGAATGTAAAATAAAAAGTAAAAATTTCCATTGATTATTGGCACAAATATGAAGAATTTTTGTTTGTTCTAGGGCCAAGGGGCTCTGGCGCGGCGGATCTCCCAGTTCCCCATTAAAACAAATAGACCCGTCAGCTCACCCCGCTGAACCAAGGGTCGTAYGAACAAGATGAATACAAACCTAACACTAACTACAGGTGAATCGACAAGGCAACGTACAAGGCCAATGGCTACGGAATACGATAAATCAAAGGACAAGACAGGAGGCGCAGCTGTAGGCAGGGGAGGTCAGGGAGCTAAGCGAAAGTTCAGCTACCTTGATGCTCTCTCGCCAGCAGAGCGGGCGCTGTTCAAGGAGCATGCCAGGGAGGAGGATGACGACATGAGTTCTTGCAGCGGCGCTCGGCGTGGAGTAGCAACTATGTCCGCGGATGCAAACTAGAGCACCACCAAGAACCCCGCAACAGGCCCAGTCACTCAGACTCGGGYGAATCTCATCGGGCAGAGGCCGGTGGTGCACGCCGGAGAAGAAKKAGGCGCAGGAGGGGAGGGCAGAGATCTCTGCCAACTGCCGACAAACCAGGCGGGTGCGATGACTCTCGTAGGAAGGCCATGAGTGGTGCTTGCCTAAAGTGGTATCTGCGGTACCTCCAGGACGGGATGACCAACGAAGCGGCGGAATCCCTGGCCAAAAGGAGATATGTAGATACCRGGTCATCCTCCACAAAGGAGTGTGGCAGGACTACGTCCGACCGTGGCCAGATTAGTGCATCACTGATCGAAATGCGGGGTGACGAAGAAGCACTCACCTATGCACAGGCAGCAAAGACGAAGGGTGGTCAGCTCACACCACAGGAGCCCCCAGTTCCAAAAGGCTGAGGGACGGCGGCACGAGGGCGACCGGAGGCCAACCATCAACCCAGGCTCCGCCACGGGTGCAGGAGGGGCGGCGCAGGTATGCGGATGCTGTCAAAGGTATCCGTATGGCTGTACTGCCTCAAAACTATCCGGCGGAGTCGGAGCAACTCACGGTGCTCCAAAACCTCCTCCTGGAGGAAGTATTTAGAGGTGCGGAATACGCGTCGTCAGCAGCCAGGTAGAGGAAAAGGGTGACCTACGTGGATGGAGATTGTACCTGTACATTGATGATGTTTTACAGGTTTAGCATGGTGGTCAAGAGGCCGCACAAGCCTGCGCCCACGGGGAGCAAGGAAGCGGGGAAGGCTGCCATTCAGCCGAGCGGCAGCGGGCCCAAGCAGGATACAATGGTGGCAAGCAATGTGGTGGAGAGGATGCAGGTGGACGACGTGGCAAAACAATCGGGCGTGAGCGCAGAGCTGACTACGCTAGTTGCAACAGCTGACATCCCGGCTGCCCAGGAAACCGGGCTACCCTCCACCCAGGAACTCCTCGAGGGACTAGGCGACCAGGAGGACAGCAGTGCGTACGACGGAGGGGATGTGGACATGCCCCCTTCGAGCCAATACTATAATGGCCGTCGACGTGGAAGTTGCCCAAATGAACCTGCATCACGCGACGGGGGCCTCGGCAGTCATAGCGAGCAGGTTCACACCGGATAAGTTGGGCTTCCTGCTGATCCAAGAAACTTGGGTCTACAAAAGTGAGGCCAAAGGCCTCAAGACGGTACACAACAAGGAAATCTGGGACCTCTCTAGTGAGCGTCCAAGAGCATGCATAGTTGTCAGGAATAATATCGACTTTTTCTGTATTTCAGAGTTCCTGACGCAGGACTTGGTGGCGGTACAGGCCAGAGACTGGGAAGGCAGAGACTTCGTCCTGGCATCAGCCTACTTCCCAGGGGAGGCAGCTGTAGCACCCCCTGAAGTGGTTGTAAGGCTAGTGGAGTACTGCAAGAACCACAGGCTACCCCTCGTTATCGGATGCGACGCGAACGATCACCATGTTGAGCGGGGAAGCACGGACTGCAACACAAGGGGTGAGTCTCTATTAGAATATGCACTAGGTAGTAACTAAGCTATTGAAAATGTGGGTTTCGAACCCACCTTTATAACTATAAGCAGGAGGGAGGTGCTGGACATCGCCTCCAGCAACGAGCACGCAAATGGTTGGGTCTCAAGGTGGAGGGTCTCAACGGAGCCCTCCCTGTCGGACCACAGAATTGTAAGGTTCGCACTGAAGGTTGAGGTCAGGCAACTTCCCCCAAGATGCAACCCTCGAAGGACAAACTGGAGTTCCTTCAGGGTAATGCTGCAGGATGAACTAAATAGAGAGAGGCTGACCGATGATAGAGTTACGGGCCCGGGAATAGAAAGCAGAGTGCTGGCACTGAACGGATCTATCACTAACGCTTACAACGGTAGCTGCCCCCTAATAGTGCCCACAGATAGGCGCAACTGTCCCTGGTGGACAAAGGAGCTTGCAGACCTCAGGAAAAGAGAACGTAGCCTATTCAACAAGGCAAAAGGTACAGGGGTCTGGGAAGAATACAGGAGCTACCTAACCCTCTACAATAAGGAGATTAGGTCAGCRAAACAAACGAACTTTAGGAGTTTCTGTGAAAAGGTCTCCTCCACACCAGAAGCGGCACGGCTACATAAGGCTCTGGCTAGTGGGAAGACTGACACGGAACTAGCCATCAAAAGAAGTGACGGGACCTTTACGATCAGCGCGGAGGACAGGGCGACAGAGCTTTTGCGTGCTCACTTCCCGGAGACCACCCAGGTGGACCAATGTCTACCTGTGAGAGGACATAGGCCATCCCGCTTGGATTGGGCAACCGCTAGGCAGATAGTCACTGCGGACTCGATCAAGTGGGCAATGGCCTCGTTCGAAAAATTCATGTCTCCAGGGGTAGAAGGCATCTTCCCAGCGCTTTTGCAGCAGGGTGAACAGCCTCTGCTACCTCACCTTATTCGGCTGCTGAGGGAGAGCCTTGCAATGGCGTACATCCCTGACCCATGGAGAACGGCTGAGGTGATCTTCATACCCAAATTAGACTATTCCTTGGCCAAGTCCGACAGACCGATTAGTCTAACCTCCTTCCTACTGAAGACTATGGAATGGCGATGGGAAAAAAAATTGGCAGCACCGGTGCGCAGATGGATAGAGGCCGTGCTGCGCACCASGATTGCCGAGACCAGGGAGCGACAAGAGTCCGTAGTCATTTTCACAAGGCGCAGGTCCCTACCCGGCTTGAGTAACCTCACACTTGGGGGCAGAGAGATCGAGATGACTAGCAAGGTCAAATACCTGGGTCTTACGCTGGATTATACCCTGCGGTGGAAGCAGCATGTGAACCAAACGCTGGTCAAAGCTACAAAAGCGTTAATGGTGTGCAAACGGCTGGCGGGTAAATCCTGGGGCTGTAAGCCAAAGATCGTTAGGTGGTTGTACACCATGATTGTGCGACCGAATTTTCATACGGGGCGGTGTCCTGGGCCTCCGTAACGTCGCAGGCTTCGGTGGTTAACCGACTATCGAAGCTTCAGCGGCTAGCATGTGTTTACATGACGGGCGCTATGCGAACCTGTCCGACGGCAGCTCTCGAGGTCCTGCTGGAACTTACACCGCTCCATATACTGATAGGTCAAGTAGCCAAGCACTCACTTCTGCAGATAACAGCAGAGGGATGCGGCAAAGGCAAGATAATCTTGTCCCAGATGATGGAGAGGATAAGTGATGACATTTCTATTGCCCTCCTCCCAAGGGACGGGATTACGAAATCAACTCACTTCACGAAAAGGTTTAAGGTTACCCTCGGGAGCAAGAGTGTGTGGAACGACCCCACTCTTGAGCAAATGCTAAGGGATAGTACACCAAGCTCTCCATTCCGATGGGAAGCTTTCCAAGTATTTTTCAGGCTGAAGTCCTGGCTATAAGTCGGTGTACAGAGATAAACCTCCACCGCAACTATCGCAACGAGCGCATAGCTATACTCAGTGATAGTCAAGCGGCACTGATCTCCTCCTACGAGATCAAATCGCTTTTGGTGCAGGAGTGCAGAGAACGATTGAACAACCTCGCTGCAAAGAACCAGGTGCACCTAATCTGGGTGCCCGGCCACAGGGGCATAGCCGGCAACGAACTGGCTGACGAGCTGGCCAGCTCCGCAGCCTCCACCGGTATGGTCCACAATGTCATTTCAAATAAATTTTTGGTCATCTTCAGCACATATCAACAGCTTCATGCATATAATCAATATCGTAAAATAACGAAGGATTATCCTATAATATCTGWTGATGGGACTGGTAACATTGTTCGGAAAATAGAACGGCCAAATAAGACTTTGTCAGGACACATACTTTTGTATTCAATTATAATCCACTATGACGCGTAATTGTGTCTGTACATGATATGCTGACTGAATCTCATGACACAGGGATAATTTGGAAGTTTATTAAAGATTGGCAGGACAATGGAGCTTTGAAACCAAAGCAAGTAGTTCGTGACTCGTCCCGGGTATTAATGAACCGATTATGCTTAGGATTTAATTTTCAAACTGTGAAAACTTACAATAAAACTTGTTTTCTACTAGCCAGTGATCATGAAGAATTCAAACATCGTCCGGAAATTTTTACGTTTATACGATTAGATGTTGCTCATTTGATGAGCATGGTGCGTCGATGGATTTGTTTCCAGCAAATGAAGTTTTCCAAAGTTAGAAATTTTTTCATGCTCTGTTTTTCACTAATGATTGACAGTCAGTCTCTGTATGAGTTTGAGAATATTTTCCGTCTGACATGTATTGTTGCTGGGCATGAACACCAAGACACGAGGCTTAAAAATGGGATTTTTGTATTGGAAAGTCGGAAAAGATTAGAAAAAAAATCGCTGACCATGGCTATAACACTAAAGCTGACGATAAGCAGTGGCAGGGTGAAGAGACTTTGTATGATGAGAGTATTGAAGAAAAAAAATTTCAAGAGCAAAGCCGTGTGAAGACATGGATAACATAAATTTTAGAAGATTCCAAAAAATTGAAGGCTGCGAACCTAATTCTTTCTATTTAAATGATTTCCTAATTAGATTCATGCCCCTAGCAACAGAATTTTGTCTATGGAGTGCAGTGCCATTGCCATATATACGAGGTCGTGCTACTTCCAGTTATTCAGAAGGTCACTTTTCTAATATAAAAAACCATGTATTGAAAAATTTTTTTCTGGGTTAATTAGAGCAGATAAACTCGTTAAAATTCTTTTAGACGACGCCTTATCCAGTGCAATCCCGCGAAAACGAAAGCACTTGCCCGAGTCCTCTGGCAAAGAAAAAGGGAAGTCCAGAGGGTGAGACTTTAAATTTCAAAAGAGCCCCGTCACCTGAAGGTGATATCTCTGATGTTCCAGATGCTAATTATGATGAAGAATCACAAGATTCTGCCAATGATAATAACTCCGCAATGCCTGATTAATTAATCTCGAATATTAGCTTTCAATCTTCGACGACTGATCCATTGAAGGACTCGGATTTTGATACTGATGATACTAATCGATGCAAGTGGCATAGAAAATTGATTGCAAACGTGACGGGCGTCTACTCTCAACCTCAACCCGATATAGGAAGCCGCAATAATCTCGCTGGTCATTCCCATCCTGGCTGTTGCGTAATGGCAATTTTGTGAAAAAGCCTACTTTGATTAACACGAATCATTATTTCGCAATCAACACTTTTGGTTTCGATTCGATTATTCAAATTTTAAGCACGGCAGCTATGGATGACGAAAATTACAATCAGGAGATGATAAATTCAGAGAATCCAACTATGAAGTTTGTTTCTGATTTTGTAAAAAAAAAATGGACCATCTCAACGCATAGAAAATGACAGACTGAAATTACTAACAGAGTTATTTCCAAGTAAAGAGTGTATTGGCGTGATCAAAGCACTGAAACCTTATATCGTTGATTTGAAAGATTATTTGTCGTCAATTGTTAAAAAATGTTTCTAATCAAAACCTTCGGCATTATGTCACTATACGTGCCTCAATTGTGGTGAATACACAGTACCAGTACCATTTTTATATATTAACCATAAAAATTTCAGGGAGCCGAATTGATTTGAAGCTCTTAATTAACGAGCATAAACAGTACTCTTGTATTAATTCATCATGTGAAATGCAATGCAGTGTTAACACTGTATATTCAAATCAAGTGTTCGTGGAGTTGAATGTTCGTCCGGATTTGAGCTACAAATCTTGGAAACGTTGTCGACTGAAGGAGTTTCCCACGACATTGGAGTTAAACGCCACAATTTATCGATTGRCAGGTGTAATTCACTATGAATCMGAACATTTTACTGCATATTGTTTCAGAGGAATGGTTCGTTGGGAGCTACACGATGATCAACAACCAAAAATTAAATTTTGTCATCCTACAACACGAGTAACACCAGAAGCAGCAATTTATGTTCAGCTGAATGAGGAAACGTATAGTACAGGACCCATCAAAGCTGATTCATTACAGAAAGAATTCCATTATGTTAACCCAGTTGAGGACCATGACACAAATTCTCGCGACAACTGGAGGAATAAAGAAAAATCTTCACTGTATTGTACCGCTACTAAAACCTTTTATACATATGTTTTTAAAGAAAAAAAAAATCTGATGATCGTAAGTAAAGCCACAAGACGGTGATCCCCAAAGTGCAATTGCAATTAAGGGGGATGTGATATATGGAAAAATTCTTGGCTTGATTCAATAATACACGTCCTATGGTATGCAGCTGAATGTAATACCAATTATTTGATATTAATGATATATGCCACCACCGAAAATGACACATTAAAATTAATTGCTCAGCTAGTTGATAAAGAAAATCTGCAATCAACAAATGAGCACCGAGTTCTTGTCTCACCTTCTTTCGTTGAAACACAAATTTATCATAGCCCCAGCATCGATTCAGAAATATCGACAATTGATTCAACTACTAGTGGGACATCTGCTAAAGTTTGAAAAGCATGTTTTGACAGTGAACCCAGTGAACAGAAGCTGTATAATTGTAATATTTGCGGAGAATACGTTGAAAATATCGCAGTACTGTATCTCAATTTCTTCAACCGCTCCCAAAATAGCATTGACTTGCAGAAAGCTCTAAATTTCTATAACTACTTGAAGAAAGTTCGATGTATAAAGGAATCATGTCCAGGAAAATGTGTAGTGATCACTTCGTCGAATTTTCATCTCTTCATTGACATCTCTCAATCTTTAATGTGCCTTATGGACGAAATACCTACAGTGATATGTCGAGAATTCAATTACAGGTAGAGTATATAAATTTACTTACGCATCTCAGTCTTATCAGTTACGTTTTATTTTACATTGCTTCTTTCCGCCTACGAATCTCATACAATTCGTTAGTAATTAACAAACAATAATATTCTAACAATTCTTTTCCAAMAGATTAGCTGGAATAATTAGTCGTCTCGGAGATCGATATGTTGCCTACTGTTCAGAGCTACAAAATTGGTTATTGTACGATGGTTATCACAAATTAACTAAAATAATAGTTGGCTGTGAACAAATTTGTCCTTTCGGACTTATTTACGTACTGCAAGATTAAACCAAAACCTTAGTTTAATAATCTTAGTTGAAGACTGTTAATTGATGTTAACTCTTATAACGATGTGAGACGGTTTAACTCCTGTTAACCATTATTAGAGTCAGACAGGACGTATTCAAAATTATCAAAGGAAAATGTAAAAAAATCACAATCACTTTAAAATGCATCTTCTATATGGATAGTTTTTAAAACAACCAAGTTAAAATTATCGAAAAATAATTGGTTTAAATAGGAAATCAAAAATACAAGTGTTCCAATCCAAAATGAAATTGTCTTTCGTAATGGAATATACCAAAATTTCAAAGTTGGTGTTTAACAATTAACTTTGTACCCTCATTAGAGATGCCCGTTAAAAAAACTCAATGAAAAGTCACTTATTAAAAGGTAATTAACGATCGCACGTAATTAAAGAGAAATAAATGCAAAATCAAGCTAATGTCAAATCAGAATGAAATATGAAATTTTAAGACGTTCAAATATCTCATTTTTAGAATCCCCTTTACATTACATAGCTAATTTTTTTATAACTGAGTGAAATAAGACATCAAATATTCAGGTTGTTGAAATAGTCAACAKTAAACCCCGAATATCTGCGTGAAAGTTCAAGACGGTTTATTTATACATTCCGATATACATTTGCTTGTCCCTAAATCCATAGATAACTTGATCGGAATCTCTTCTTGCTCTCTCGCTTGTCAGCTGGCAACAAAACACAATCAGGGTGCCGTCAACCAGCAGTTAGTGAAAAAGGCGGGATGCCAGAAGAGTAGCGCTATAATTACTTGACGAAATTAGTGTGAAATGAAATTTCATTGAACTGTGCGGACATATTTTGACAAAATAAATGTTTAAGTAAATTAATTAATGATTTTGCATTTTAGCATTTATATATGTATGCATTTCCAAAGTGTTGTAATTTAGAGTTTTGTATAATTTATTAAATACCCAAGCTAATATTTTTCAGCAGTGGCATCTTTGGCAAATGCTATAAAAAATGTGAGTTTTGACAGCTCTCTCTCGAACCAAAGAGTCTCGTATCAAATTATCTATGCCTAAATCTATTCTTTCCTAATTAGATGAGAGTGTAGCTAGTTAGTAGGACGAAAAATCGGGGGTATCTGGCAACTCTAATACGCTCCGCGGGGAATTCACAAAGAGTATTCAAAAGAAAAAATTCATAAATTTATTTATAGAAAAAAGCATGATGACAATAAAACGGAATTCATATTTATTCGAGCCTGCCTTTCCTGTGTATCCACACGAAATTAAATTTTAACGTCCATATTCTGTGAGATAAATTATCCATTGGCCACAATTCGAAATTCCTACCGTTAGCAAATCACTTATTAGTATAGTTATTGATTTTAATTCTCTTTAATCAAAATGAAAAACAGCCTGATAAACCTCAATAATAACTCATTCACCATGGACATTTTTTTTAAATTAATTAAAATCTAATGAATAATTACGTATAAAAGAATGAAACCAAGGTATTTATTATCTACAAACGATTTGCTTTCCATTGGTTAATATTATTTCGGTCTACAAATAAAAATTAGTGGGGTGGGGTGCTAACTTCCCATCATTATTTTGTTTAGTTAATTAAAAATTAATGAAGGATCTACAAAATTTTTTAATTGTATTACAATGATGCACATAAATGAAAACATCATAGCTCATATTAAATTTATTATTTTAATTGATATATAAAATTTAGATGCAATTATTATATAGTAATCCGAATTTATGAAATATTTTTATGTTATGAAACGCATTTGTAGAAAATTTTTTTTTTTTTGTTATTTAAACAACGCAGTTAAATTGTTGAGGAAGGTAAGTTTTGAATAAATTTTATAATTTCTACTTAATTTATAAAGATTTGTTACAGTTTTTTTTACTTATGAATACAGAATGTGTGCCAATTCGCAATATTCATGCAAAGTAGTAATTCTTGGCCTTGCATATATCGGTAGGATGTAGGAGCAAGAGACTCCCTATATTGTGTTAGGATAACAAAACCCACATAAAGATTTGGCAGCGGGAATAGCAATAGATTTGACCGTACACGACACATATGTGCGTTCGATCGGTATGTGTGCGATTGCAGTTTACTTGTGTATGGGCTTGTGAGCATACCGATCCATATTCGCGAAAATGTTTGTTTTTTTACGATCGGTGTGCTCACAAGTATGTCGTGTGAACACAAAATCTCAGTTTTCTCGTGTCGCCAAAAGGTCGCGGACGAACAACTTTCCGCTTGCTTGTCGCACATATTCTTTGTTTTTTGATTTATATGATGTTATGTGCACAATTTAGATATAATTACTTTCATATGATATAAAAAAAAAACTTTGACAGCTAATCGAGTTCAGTAGGTTTTGACGTTTATCAATTGGAAACAAGCGATGGCCAGATTGAAATCTTACCAAAAAAATATGTAAACGGAGGGATTTGTTGCATCGTTCAAGACCACTTATAAAAAAAGAAAAATAATGAAAATGAAAAAAAATTTTTAAATTTAAAGGTATTTGATGAAACGTTTTGTAATTTGAAGCATCCTAGTATTATTTCAAAGGGAAAATGATTAAAAACATTTAATGATGGAGAGCTAACAAGCTTAAATTCTTGTATTGGATATTCAAAGGTCAAAAGTGAGTTCTAATATACTTTAAAAAGGTTTAAATAGTTTCGCCGCATAATAAATAATAAATAATTGTTATTGTTTTTTAACTTTACTTAACTGTGTCCAATAACAACGGAAACATCGCTTCATTGACCAGTTCTTTCCGAAATTCTCGCCCTTCTCAAGGGACTGAGGAAGTTGTTTATGAAGGATTTGGGATAGCCTTAAACTTGTGAGCCCACCAATCATTGATATTATCCCCATTATGACGAGAGGAAGTTTTCAATTATCTCTTCCCTAGACGGAAATATACGTAGAATAAAATTACCTGATTACAATAGTTTGCGGATATACTTTAAGCATTAAAAAATGACATGGTAAATCTTTTATGAGGAGAAATAAAAAGCTGAGACAAATTTTTAAATAACACTCTAATATATCCATTTGATAAAAGTAATATATAGTACATTTAATTGCACGCGGATAATGGTTTCGAAGTTAATGTTTATTCGAGGACAAAGAAATTGAAGAAATGTATACTTTGACAAATTTTATTTAATTATCTCTTAATGAAGGTGTATTTCCTTTAGTGCAGAAACAGTTATTTATAATCCCTTTGTATAAAAATGTCATTGAAAATTCTATGGGAGCAGCAAGATCTAAACTTTTGGAATCTTACATATATGTATGTACATTAAACTTATAGCACGATTCTGAAAGCAGTCTCTTGTCATTATTTGAGACATTTTGAGGTAAAGTCTCAATTTGTGACTAGTTACTAAACATTCTCTAGAGCTAGTCTCAAAATATTGTCCCAAATTTATCCCTGATAGTTAGCACACACAACTAAAACGTCACAAAACTAAAAAGTGCTCTTGGCTACCATTTTGAATATACTGAAGAGAGATCATCATAGATGATAATCGATTGTCGTTTTCTATATTTTGTAAGCAACTCAAACACGAAAAGGTTCAAAATAAATCAATTTTACATTAAATTCGTAAATAGTTTGATACAAAGTCAACGTACATTTTTATTTTTGTTGGTTATTTAGTTTTTTTGATTATGTTA